TATTTTACATATTATTGTTATATATAGTTAATGTTTTTTATGGTTTGTGTGGTATGATTAATTGACTATTGTTGAATATTATGAATAATTTTATAATTAGAATTTTGTATTCTTCAATTATATTGTTAGAATTTTGATTTATGTAATTTTGTGTGTAATTTATAGGTGTTTACGCCATCAATTACAAATTTATTTGATGATACCACATATAATATTGTTTGAATGAGTGGTTATAATGAAGTCATGTTCGATTTGATATTGTTATGATCTAGAGCATAATAAACCTCGTTAATGGTTGCCACATTTCCAAACGAATTTGGTGTTTCTTATAGTTATCTCCCATTTAGTTGGTGGTATATAACATTGGTGTAGATCATGGTTAAATTTTAGGAGAAGTTGCAAGCCTAGTTTAGCTAATGGGTGAGATGATAGATGGATGGCGAGTTTTGGAGAGGGGATGGCGAGTTTTGGAGAGGGTTTTGACTACATCTATTACTAAGTTGTCTAACTACCCCATGAAGATTTGCTATGTTTTGCACAAGTGGGAGTGGGTGGTTACCATCTTCCTCAAAACATATAAAAGAGAAAAATTGGACAGAAGCAACACATGGCCAGCACTACACACGACACATCAAATTCAGCTTTGTAATTTCATAGCTATTTTTCACAACACTCATAGATCTTAATTTTAGCATAACTTCTAGTTAGATTTAGATTAGTTCTAGCTTATATGTAATCTATTTGTTTATTTAGTGATTTTGAGATAAGTGTCATTTCATCAAATGTTAACTTATATGGCTTTCACCTCTCATTTATGTTTATGTCAACTTCAATCTTGTTTGCCTAATCATCATGATTACTTAGCTTTACTCTAGCTTCAAGCCCATTTACTTTTCCAATTCTACAACAATTTAGTTTAATATGCTAGTAGATTGATAGTCAAATCTGTTATGAAATTTAGATGAACACTCATTCTTGCTCATTTCATTTATTGTAGATCTTTAAGGCTTTAATTAATAGTGGTGTTTTATACTCCTTAAAGTTGTCCAAGGTAGATCAACAACCTATTTTGCAAGAAGGTATTCCTCCCTTCTACAAATCATTTAAAGGTATAGAAGTCAACCATAAAGCAATGTTCTTTCAGCTATCTTAATGAAGGTTGACCACAAAAAAGTATAAGGTCATTGGGAAAATTCTATCTTTTTACTTTACAACAAAATAAGTGGCACATCTCATATCCAAATCTACCGTGCATGGTGCCACTTTAAGATTTTTGAAGAAACAATCCTTTTGGGGCACACCTAGTAGGACCCCATTACATCTCACTTGAAGTTTCCAGATCCACTCTTTGCATATTCAAGGACAAGCACAACCATCCTGCTTATAGAGAGTGGGGTACAAAGTATTTGGCCACCCAGATTGGCCGCCTTGATCCTATGAATCTACCTTCATTTTCTTCCTCTATTAAATAGGTTATAGCTAAATCTTTTGATTTTTTTTTTTTGAAAGAGTGAGGCTAATAATGGAGGAAAATAAGAAAAACCCAAAGGAAATCAATAACTTTTCTAATAAAAAGAGCAGAGGAACATGATGCCTTGTGTGCATCATGTCTCCAGCACATCAAAGAGGCATTTTATCAAATGGAATAGACTAAAAGTAAGAGTGTCAGACCAAACAAAATGCTCTAATTTTACCACCCTCATTCATAGATCCTTCCTTACAGAATTGAAATGTTCTATATAGCTCATGTGGCGTGGGCGGCAAGATAATTGACCATCACCACCATCCCAAAACCAACAAGTGGCTAATAGTTAGGTATAACCCTAACTAGTAAAAGTTGCTACTCGTATAATACATAGGGAAATTCTAAATAGTGTAGAATAGATAAGGGTTTCCAACAATATAGCTTACTTCCACAAAGTAAATATTCTCAGCCTTATGTTTTGCCAATGTAGTAAATTTACCATGGTCTGCTAAGTTGGTACCCTAATTACAACCAAGAGGCCTACAAGCTAGTCATAAGGCCTCTAGATAAATTAGCCTACATACAAGTCTTAAGGCCTTTAGACAAATCAGCTTATAGAAATTTGCCACACTTTAGGCGTATATTACCAGTTAATGATCTGAGATAGATTATTGTAGAAACCAAAGCTTGTCAATACCATACCAAATTAAACCAACCCCAATGGAGAAAGCATGAGAGGCATGAGACAACATTATAGAAAATTGGTTTATATTAGAGGCAAGTGCGTTCTACACAAACAAAATAGTCCTAAATGTTGAAACTAGCGGTCAGACCTCTTAGCAAGTGGTGGGTGCCAATTGTTTATCCCTAATTTCTTAAAGTTCAAATTCCATAGACTTTGAGGTGGCACCTACAACATAAAAGAGCTAAAGAAAGCATTCACTATAGATTTATGCTAGGGCATGGCAAATTACACTCAATTGCTTCTAGCTAGAAAAAAAGTTAATCTGGATCTTGAAATAAAAGGTAATCACTACAATCTAAACTACCTTACAAAAGGAATCCTAACCAGCACATGGTGAGAAAGAATTACTAAAATCTTTTGACCAAGGGAGTTTCTTGAATCAATCTATTTCAGATCTGGCCATAAAGTCCAAGACTTTCTTACCATTGTCAAAATCCAAGTCAGTAGCAAACTTCCCAATAGATAATTCGTGCCTTGAAATAAAAGTGAATGAGGCTAAAGGAGTTAATTTGTTGTCAATAAGTTTGGACCCTTTGAGACTTATCTACGACAAATCCCACACAGAATACAGGTCTTAAGTTAAAATTGTGATTATTGTTCCTACTAATTTGAAGACCCAATGGTCAGTCTTGCCAGACTTCTACTATGTTAACAACCAAACTAATCTCATTAGTGAATTTAGCATTCACAAATTCGATCTGCTAGAGACAACTTCTAACAATCTAAGGCATTGGAGTAAGATGTTGATTGACATGTGCTAGGCTTATAGAACTTCATAGATGAGTTTTGCCAAGATAGGTCCATTTGCTTTAACTTGTGAACATGTTGATATTCTACCAATGAAGTTATCTATCAAATCATTAATTCTAATTCAACATGCTCTTACAATTGGAAGATATAATGATGTCATGATGCCAGAATTGGACAAGCCTAATGACGTGACTTTGATGGCTTTAAATAGGCTGCAACAACAAAATTTGGTGAAATTCATAAGTTTGGCAAAGCAAAATCTAGTGTGGAATTCATTTTTGCTAACTTAGAAGAAAAACCCCAAATTTGAAAAGTGGTTTCCCACTTTGGAAAGGTCATTTCATATCCATGGAGTTCTCAAAGAAGGTGCATCTTGGCTACAATCATTAAATGGAAAACTTTGTTTTCCAAAAATAAGAGACATCTGCCTTAGGACTTACTACCTTACAACTTAGAAGGCTAGAGATTTGGATGCCCCGAGATATACTTAGCCAGGTTTGGGTAGAATTTATGTTATACTTTCATTTATCTTTTTGGCATTTTTTGTTTCAAAAAAAGTGCTAAGTGGATGATGTGAGCAAGCTAGCCTTAGCTGTGAGTAATGAAATTAGATAATGAGATCGACCATACCATGGCTGTGATAAATACTTACTATTTGCAGAATAGTGATGAGCATGTGACAAACCACTTAGTACCCAGTAAATTTTTCAAAGGTTGAGTAAAACATCCAACAACAAGTTGCATGGCTTTTGGGCCACAAATAAAAGAACCATAAAAAATATTGCACTAGACAAAGCAAGTTGAAAAAGGTGACATCTGACAAAACTCATCTCCTAGTCACTTTGTTTGCTTTTATTTTGTTAGAGCTTTTTAGTGGCTTTGTTAGCAAATGTCGTGAAAAAAACTTGGTCTAAACAAAAAGAACATTTTCTGCTACCATAGACTCTACCTTTTTCTCTATGTATGTGGTAGTATCATTTGTTATAAACTTCTTAACAAATTTAGCCATTGCCACCTTGGTTCCCTTGGTAGTAATCTTCTTGAAAAAAATCTACATGAATGACAAGACAAACCACTTAGAACTTGTGCTAGTTTATAGAGAGATGTGACGAATGGCTGAGAACTCATGTACTATTTAAAGCAACATATAGGTTTAACACTCAATAGACATAGGTCATAGTAAACTAGTTATTGTGAGGTTTTGGATGGCTAGATTGATTTGTTTTGGCATTTGAGTGTTGAAATTTAGATTTGTCTCCTCAACAACATACTTTCCTTTTTCTAGTCAAGTTATGTCTTGGCTAGAAAATTTGAAGTACTTTCAAATTGGCCAAAAATTCATTTGTCAAACAATCATGATCTACAAAGCAACAAAAAACTAGCAAGTTAAGCAGCAAACCTCTTTGGTTGTTGGAGTTTGACACATGGCAATAGAGTTGGTGTTGTCATTTAAAATCAAACACTTGGATTCATTTCTATAAAACCAAGTGTTGGGGGACATTGTTTACACCATAAATTACAAATTTATTTTATGATGCCTTGTGTCATATTGTTTGAATGAGTGGCTGTGATGAAGCCACATCAACTTTGATGTAGTTGTAATTTGGAGCATGAGAGACCTTGCTAATAGCTACCACATGTTCAACCAGACCTAGAGGGTGTTTGGTGCAGATTATGAAAAGAGCTTTTTGGCTCTAAAAGCACAAGTTTCACCAAACGGGTCAGCTTTTGAAACGTGCTGTAGCTTTCTAAAAGCACATCTTTTCCCTGTTCCTTTTCAAATCCCGGAAGCACCAATTTCGTGCTTCTGCATGAGCTTTTCACTTCATGTTTAATGAAATTGATATGGTATTGTCATTTTATCCTCACATGTTCTTTTATTTACAAAAAAACCCCTTTTTTAAGGTTTCTTTTATTACTTCTTTTTTTTTTTTTTTTTTTTTTTTTTTTTTTTTGAGGCACTTAACCTTCCTTTTTTTTCCTTCCTTTTTTGCCCCCTTTTTTCCAAGGCGGTTAAAAATTTTAGGCTTGTTCGTTCCCGGGCTTTTTTTTTCCTTACTTCTTTCAAGGCGGAAAGGCCCTTTTTTCTTCCTGGGATTTTCCCCCCCAAATTCCCTTTTTTCCTCTTTTTTTTTTTTTGGTTTTCTTTCTTTTTTTTTGTTTTTTTTTTTTTTCATTTTTTGGTGTTTCTGCTACTAATTTGATGGTGATGAATGATGATTGTTGGTTTGTAGTGTGAGTTGGTGAAAGTTTTAATTTTTAATCCCTTCTTGTTCCTTGTCTTCTTGTAGATCTAGGCGACGCGACAAAGCGGCATGGGTCAGTGAAGCTAAACGAAGTGGCAATACCAGAGGGGAGTGAAGCGGAGGGTGTTCCGGCCACGGGACTTGACAATAACTTTGGATTCTCGAAGCATTTTGGGAGCAAGTACGAGCTCAGGGAGAAAGTTGGGAGAAGCCATTTTGGTTATACCTACTCAGCCAAGTTCAAGAAAGAGGAACTCAAAGGACAACAAGTTGCTATTAAGGTTATATCCAAAGCGAAGGTAAGCTTGTAGTTCATTATTTTGGGTGCTTACTACTTAGTATATGCTTGATTTGTGGGTTCGACTATATGTTTCTGACAGTATAGAGATGAGATCTACTGGTAAACCTCTGCTTTTATCAGTGATCAGTCCTGTACTATGATCAGTTTGCTTGATTGCATTTATTAATATGCAAGAATGGATTGTGTATTGAATTATTGGTGGTGAAATTTTTTGCATTGGGGACCTTGGATTGGAGATGTAGTTGTAGTATGTGTTGATTTGCCTTTTTTTCTCAAGATAAAAATTGATCTTTCTTTTTAATCTTTTGGGGATGGGGAATTGTGCCATTCCATTGTCTTCCTTTTTATTTTCCAATGATTTCTTGAACTATTTTCATTTTGACATCAATGGTTCCAATAAGAGGGAATGAATGGGAAGGATAAGGGCCCTAGTAGTCAGAATACTGTAATTTCAACAGTGAGAGTTTCATTCTTTATGAGAACTTGCAATAAATGTTGATGAGAGGAAATGGGTAATTCCTTGGAGTTCCATCTGGAGAATTTCATTCTTTATCAGAACTTGCAAATTGCCTCACTTACTGGTATATGCAAATTGCCTCATACGATATGATTGAATTGGTCAGATGAGACGTATTTGATGGTGATGTTTGGAAGATGACATTTTGATGTATTCTGATACTGGTGGGTTTGTGTTTTAATTAGACTTGGTTGCAGTGTCAATGATCAAGTTTTGGTTGCATAGGTTTAGTGGTAGTTATAACTAGTAGGTAGGTTTATAAAGATTCATGGTGTTTCAACGTTTGAAATATGGCTTCGTGAAAAATTTTCACCCTCTTAGTAGAGGTAGGGCAGTTGGATATGTAATGGTTAGATGCATGAAATACTGTTAGTTATGTACATTTTTTATGTTAAAAGAAGATTAGTTGGTGATCAATAGAACTGACAAGTATTTGTTTTTCACTCTAAATAGTTTTGGCATATAGTTTGTTTTGTAAGATTCCATGAACTTCTATTCCATGTTTTCAGTAATTGCTGTCTGGTCTCCTCCTTAGAGGTGATGACTAACTTTTTTTTTTTTTTGTCTTCCAGATCTCAGCATCTTTCAACCTGTCTGAAGAATCTATGGTTCCAAGATTAAGTGTTGAAACTACTTGGAACCTAGGGATGTGATTTAAATATTATTTAGTATGTTGTCCTGTCCACAATCCATTTAACTATTATTTAGTACTACTTTTGGGTAGACAGCTTATTATTTACCGTTATTAACTACATTATTGATCAAAATATTGTTGTGCCCTTGATTAGGGTCATATAATGAGCTGATTTCCAAGCCAATGACAGCTTATTGGCATTCAGTTTTAAAAATATAATAGTACTTTTCATTTATGAATCATTGGATGTCTCTGTTCTTTCATTGCATATACACTTGTTAATAACATTTTGTTATGATTTTTGCCTCATATTTTTTAATGGGTCAATAAATCAAATAATTTTCATGGATCATATCTCTGGTTGTTTCTACTTGGACTACCTGAACTTGGATTACTATTTTGACTCGTGAGAAGAACAGTCTTTTTCTTCCTGCTTAAATAGGAATAATGATTATATTAAGATTGATTTTAAAGTCTGTTGTTTACCATTTAGATTGTATTAAACTATAGAAATAATTTTTGTCAATTTTATACAAAAATATTTTTTCAAATCATATTTTTGTCTTATAGTATTGAGTTTTAAAATATGAATAATTAATTTTTAATCATCAACCTTAAACTAATTATAAAAATAAAGTCATATAAAAATATAAAAAAAATTTAGAGTGGGAGTGGTGATTAAATATAGTATATTTTATTTTTTAATATTAAAATATAAGCATTTATATA